AACCGGGGTTTGAACTCAGACCCTTGCGCTTGCCAGGGAAACGCTTATTCCACTGAGCCATCTCCCCGGCCCCAATTTTCAGGGTTTTAAGCATTAATACAATACAGAATTACAATTTTTCCTACCTAGGTTTACTGGTCAGATAAGTTTATGCTATGTGTACAGTACAAAATTTGTCAGTAAGAAAAATAAGTTGTGGTGACTAGCTGATTAATGTCTCATTTGTATAAGCAATCCAGGCATAATTGTTAAATTGAAGTGAGTTAAACCCAGCATTAAGATGCATGAGTATTGTAAAGTGAAGCCCAGCCTGGGCTACTTAGTGACATCCTCTTTTAAGGTGAAAATTAAATAATGCTAGGGATGTTTCTCAGTGGGAAAGCACTCCTGGGTTCCACCCCAGCACCACAAAGCAAAGTAAGGTAAAACTTCTCATGCAAAAGATATGTTGCCTGTACCAGGTTTTACCATTCTTACTTATGATCGTAAGTGAAAGATTAGGGCTTAGAGATATCTATACAAAGAACAACTTAATTCTTAGAGCTAATCAAGACAAAACCCAAGGGGCCAGTGATAATATATTTCCTACTTTACTGTTTATCATTACAGAGACTAAAGACATTTTGGACTAGTAGAAAACACAGATTTTATGCCACCTTGCAAAGTCGCACCATGAGAGTACAGGTTTCCAGAAGTTAGGATTCAGAGATTTGCCAATTGGCAGACTGCTGGTGTAACTTTCACACAGCTCACTTCCTAGTGCTCACTGGAGACAAGGCCACTAAAGGTTAGGAAGCTGGGTGTGGTGGCACATATCTCTAATTCCAGCACTCTGGACAGCTGAGGCAGGAGGATCACAGGTTCAAGTCCAGCCTGGACATTTAGCTATTCAATAAGACCCCATCTCAAAATAAAACTTGGAGGTGTAGTTCAGTGCAAAAGTCCTAGGTTCAATTCCTTGTAATAGAAGAAAAAGAAAAGAAAGAGAGAAAGTTCTGTTTAATAAAACTATTTTCATGTTAGGAGAGGGTTTTTTTTTTTTGAGAGTTTTTATTAGAAATATAAAGAAGGAGAATTTACAAGGAACTCTTGAATGGATTAGCCCTGTCTCAAAATTTTCTTTAAAGGACTAGAGTGAAAAAGTCCTGAGTTCAATTCTTAGCACTGGAAAGAAAAAAATAAAGGAATGCATAGGAACACTGCAGAAAATTTGTAGAAGATGAGCCTGTGAAAAGAATCTTTAGTGTGGCAAAGCTGACTAAGATTAGCGGAGAATTATGCACTAGTTTTTTTAAAACAGTAAAAATTAATATCAACAGTACACTGCAAAACTAGAACTTCATTCTCTCTTTCAAGTCAAGTTTGCATGGTACTTTAGTCATTTCCTTTTGTTGTGGGGGGGGGGGTGTATCAGGATGTTGTCATTTCCTAGTAAGATTTTCAAGAATTTCTGCTTCTATTTGGCATCATTGGCCTATGAAGCAAAGATGCATGTTTTGATATGTTAATGTCTTCTGTGTTGTCTCTGTTTGATTCCTAAGACTAAGTAAACTGAGTCTTCTCAATTAAAACACCTAAGGCTAGGGCTGGTGAGATAGCTCAGTGGACTAAGCACCTGCTTAGGCAAGAACCAGGACCCAGGTTTCACCCCCAGTACGGTATGCCCCGGGGGCCCTGAGCTGGCCACCGAGACTGGGCTTGGTGGCACATGTCTGCAATCCCAGCACTGGGGAGGCTGAGTCAGGAGGATCGCTAAGAAGCTGAGCTGAGTAGTAAGACCCTGTGCCAAATAAATTTTTTTTTAAAAAGTGAGCTAAGGCTTTTTTAGTATCCACACAATTTTCTATATTTGCCTGTGAGGGGCTAATATCTCTTTGTTTAAATGACATCCTGTACAAGGTGACCTGTGATCTAACTTTGATAAATGTTTTAAACTTTTAATGATGTGAGGGCTCTTCCAAAAACCAAATTCTAAGTTAAGATTTTTTAAAATGTATTTAGTATAGGCTCTACAGGGTCTCACTATATAGATTGGATTTCAGTGGTTCTCCTGTTTACAGCCTTCTAAGCACTGGGATTACAGGCGTGCACCACCACGCCCAGCCTCAATCACCATTTCAGCGCGCCCCCAGGGATGGGGCAGAGGCACAGCATGCCCGGGATCAAATCACATCCACTGAGCTCTGCCTAAGCAGGCACTTTAGTCTGCTGAGCTATCTGGCCAGCTGTAAGACTTTTC